CCTTCCAAAGGCTCCCTGGGATTACTAGAAAAGGCTACCACTCAATATTTGCAGGCAATGACCACAAAACTTCCCATTCACTACTCCCAACTGTCCCCTAATACCAGTCTACAATAATCCCAACTCCAGGGCACAGGCAACAAGGGCCTGTTCACCTTCAGACCTTACATGAAATCACATAGTCAGAAGAATAGACACAAATCATACAGCCCTAAAGTATGACCATCATTAGCAGGTGACATCCAGATACAAAGATAGGAAGAGAACCTGTTTAGGCAGACCATTAGTTATTTGAAATCATCATTCAAAGGAAACTGCAGTCACTCTCCTGATATTTACATTGGAATAAACTGTTTTTCAGCATTGAGCATTTTTGAGACTGTTCTTATCAGAGTCATTCTGTTGTTAAGTTATAGTCTGGAATTATTCCCTGGAGAGCCAAAAATGTCCATCCACCAAATGATTTTGATCCCCGCTATTGAACCCTGGCAGCACAGTGGTTAAGTGCTCGGCTGTTAACCAGAAGGTCGACGGTTTGAACCCACCAGCTGATTGGCTGGAGAAAGACGTGGCAGTCTGATTCTGTAAAGATTTACAGCCTTGGAAACCCTGTGGGGCAGTTCTACTCTGTTCTATAGGGTCACTATGAGTTGGAATCGACTTGATGGCAATGGGTTTGGTTTTTGGTTTTACTGAAACCTGGAGTATACATGCTGGGGTTTGCCCCTCTGGGGGCAGCTTTTCTTAAAACCAGATGTTTCCCTGGGTGGACAGCAGGAATGAATGACATTTGCATATTCCCTACATGGTCTTGCTAAGATTTCAGCCTTTGCTTGTGGTTTGAATATCTCACCAACCTCTGCAAATGTATAAAAGGTAGTGGCAAAAGTATATAAAAAGCATGTGCTTGACAGTACTTCATCAGAGTGCTGCCGTGGCCAATAATAGGCAGACTGGACCCAAAGAATAAGTACATTTCAGCTGTCAGGTTACACAGAAGCATTTATAACCAGGAAACTTCACTCAAAATCATTTCATTTTTCTGACTTGGAATAGGAAACAGCATGATACACCTCTGTAAGATATGCCAATGACACTCTCAACTGAGAATTTTCTTTGGTCCATTTTTCCCTGATGAAGGTGGAAATGTTCAGTTGCTTGGTGATAACTTACCCTTTCCAGAGACTTCAGCAAATTTTGTCTTTCTTTGAGTTTCTGAATACTGATGACAATTTTGTGTCTTGCACCTTTGGTAACATTCTGTAATTAAAAAGAAGTATTAGAATCACATTTTTGAGAATCAGCTTAGAGGCTCTCGGAGGTTTTTTAGTTTGTTTACTGTATTGCTTGCTCCCACATGTTCACAGACTACTAAATATCCATTGATCCCTCCCTTTAGTACCTATTGTCATAAATCTCTTCTTATGAAATAGTCTCACTCCCTTTGGTTACATATTTGCCTTTATCTTTTGGCTGTGACCTTTAGGGAGAAAGAGAGTGATAAAGGACAATTACCCCAGTAGGCAAGAAATTTCTTCATAGTCTTAAAAGATAAATTTTAAGTCATACACTCCTCCTCATCTCCAGGTTTTATCACTTCAACCCCTCTCCTACATTAGTCAGTCCACCTTCAGACGTTGTGAAGCCCAGTATAGTCCTCACCTAGTGTCACACAACACAGGGCAAGTTTTATCAGTTTATAGCCCGTCTTCTGTCTCCATAAGGAAAACCAGAATAGAAAATAACATAAACTGATAATTCAGTCATTACTTCAGGTAAATGATTAGGATTCACAGTTAGAGCTGTGGATTTTATCTTCTTAACTGCACAGCAATAGTGGGCCTAAGAATTAATTAAATACGTGTTAATTGCAGATGCCACAAATTTCCAAATAGAAGGTCCTTTCTCAAACCAGATTTCTAATACAAACTTCTGGTGACTTCTTGCAACTATCCCATAGAGTTCCTCCTAAAATAGGAATGGATGGGTATACCAGCGACATCTCATTTACTTAGAAAAATTAAGACTCAAGCAACAAACGAACCTACTTCTCTAAGACGAAGAACTGGAGGAGAAATTTCTGTTTAGCTTTGACTTTGAGTTCAAATGAATTAAAGTACTCTGAAAAGTTTGTGCTGGTCTCTGGCTTTGTCCTCTGTGTCAATTTTTTCTTGTTTTTTCTCAAGTTGAACAACTGATGACTTAGACTTTTTCCTCACCTTTGACCCAAACACAAAAATGCTCTTAGAAACAGTTTTCATCAATCCCTGGGATCTCAAGGAGTAGTCGAGATCCAGAAAGCAGTGGGAGAAGTGTTAGAAAGTTGAAATTAGTGCCTTTCATTCTCTGAGAATGTGCAGTGACTTTGGGCTTTGTCTCACGTCTCAATACTGGTATTCAGCCAGGCCTGCAGAGGTTAACTGAGGGTACTGAATAGGCAACGGGAAACCAGAAATCTGCTGGGAGGTATGCTTCCAGACCAACTATGCCCCAGATGGGACAATCTCCTCTTCCTGTAAGGGAAATATTATTAGCCCATTCAGATCATTAATTCTTTTAAATCATTGCTCAAAGGAAACTGAAGTCAATTTGAAACATGCAAATAGCATTTTAAGCAAGGGAAACAAAGACATCAGTCAGCTCTACTTTCTTGAGCACAGCATGGTAGGAAACATGCTTAGCTTCAGGGGTTCTGTTGACTGGCCTTTGGCATCCACACTTGGGAAGAGATGCCTTAGAACGAAAGAGGAACTCTGTCTTTTTATGTCATGCAGAAAGGAAATGGAATCCGAGACTGGGGAAAATCCTATTCTTGATGATTGTCCGATATTATTCAAGATGATTAGGAGAAAAAACACTTGGTGCAATTTACTCTAATTTCAACTAAGACCAGTCTGAATATGCTTTTGGAAACAAGTTGGGGTGGATCTAAGGCATGGCCTGGTTCTTCTAATCAACAGTCTGGTTAGAAGTTAGCTGACTTGTAAGCAGACTGGACAACAGTCAATCTGTCATTCCTCTGGTTGGGCAGTGAGAGGGAGGAAGCAAGGTAAGCAAAAGCAGGGATACAGATGCTTTCAAGGCATTGGTCAAATGTTACTTCTTCTAGGAGACTCCACTGATTCCTCCCTAGTACCCTTGAACTTATAGAGTGCACCTAGTTTACACCTTTTTCATAACACTTTGTCACACCCTCATTTATCCTATGGCTATTGGCTCATCTTCCCTCTCCTACTAGACCCTGAAGGCAAGAACCCAGCCTTACTCACCATGTACCGCTGGTCAGCACCTGGCAGTTCCTAGAACATGGCAAGCTACTGAGTAGGGCCCGAACAAGGTGTGGGTACAGGCCCAAACAAGGTCTGTCCAGGACTTTAACTTCAAATGCACCTGGGGTACCTTCTCAGGGAACAGTCACCTGATGCACATACCTGAGCCTCCAGCTGGCACTCAGTGAGGGCCATCATTTCCTCATAGGTCATCTGGGAGAAAAGCGCAGCATACTTGTGCAGGCGGAGGCTTTTCAACCAGGCTGGAACATCTATGGTGCAAGATGCGCAAGAGATGGGGAGAGAAATTGAGAGGGAACGAGAAGAGATGATAAAAGATGTGGGAACAGAGAAAGGAAAAGAGGGTGATGGTCAGAGAAAAAAAAAAGGAAAACAAAACCTCTATGTTACTACTTAATTTTGGCAGCAAATTATGGACTTAAAAGTCTGGGTCTACCCTGATATTCCACTATCGGGCTCCTTTATTCTACTTTACTTGTGCTGCTTTAGACTAGGGGTTGCTAATTTGGGGTCCATGGGGTTCAGGGCATACAGGAATCCTCTAAAATTATATTCCAATTTGTGAATGTATGGGCAGTTTTCTGGGTAGAGGGCTGTTCATAGCCTCCATAAAATTATCAGAGATGTTCTTGACCCCCACCCCCCCAAAAAAGCAAGGTATCTCTGCTTTAGCTGGACCATTTCATTGTTGATTTGGAAAGAAATGACTTAGCTATGAAACTTGTCTTTGGACTTTTCCTTGAATGCCAACCACCAATATTCAAAGATCGTTAGGACTTGAGAGTTCAAAGATTGGCTAGATCATAGGACAATGGAAATTCCAAAGCATACCTGAAATAAGACCTCAGTTTAGGATTCTAGAGTTAAAACAATCAAATAGTAAATCTATTAAAAATTCATAGAAGAATTATTACCTTATTAAGTACAATCAAAACACAGGACTTGCCCATATTCTTTTACACCAGAAATTTTCGAGCTGGTAAGGTCTTTGAGAAGTCTCTAGAATCATCTCTCCTCACCTTTGGCCAATTTTATATATGGAAAAACTAAGTGACTAAGTCTACATCACAGAGCAAGTATGTGATGAAATGGGACTAAAACCTAGGTCTCCTGACCCCAACTTTTTCCTAGACTGTATCAACTTCTTGTGAAATGAGGACCAAACAACCTGTTGGTGGTAGGGCATAGATAAGCAGTGACTGTAAAGTACTCTGAAGAGCTAAAGCATTGGGTAAATGTTATTCATGAGGTATTATCCATGAGATATTATCCATTACTAACCATGCTGACTGCAAGATACTGTCCACTGCTAAGTGCTTTATTATGAGGTATTGACAGGGACCACAAACACTCCAAAATAAGTGGAAACTTTCTAATTTCTCAATATTTAGAGTAGATAATTGATTGATTACAGAGGCCTGGCCCACTCTTAAATCAGGCCTTGCCTCCTTGGTGAACCAAAACCTAGGTTTAGGGAAATGTGGGCATAGGATGATTTCCTGAAATTCAAAGATGTAGGAGACGAGAGTAGACATGGTGAAGTTACTTCTTGATTTGCAGTAACATGAAGGCCAAAGAAGGAAAATTTGGGGAGAAATAAAATTAGATAATCAATGGCATTTTAAGAACAAGCTCATCTCACGCAAGAAATCACTTGATTCTGTGCTTGTAAGCCTTCATCCTACTGTGACAAGTGAAGAGTCCCTCTGGGACCATCATTAACCACAAAGAGAAACATAGTACCAACCCCGTACATCCTCAACTCAAACTGTGGTTAGAACAGGAGTCCAGGACATGCCAGATCAGGAATCTGGTATATTCCCTCCTGTGATATCCTGGAGCTATTTTATCAGACTTTATTCTCCATCGTGTTTTTGGTACTGTTGAAATAATGCTAGTGCTTCTACAAAGTGATCAGCAATGAACTTAAGTACAGCTTTGGCTTTCAGGCCAACCACATATTCCCACTTTGCCACCAAGTTTCATATTTGTTATTTACATCTTTGAACAGCCACACATGAATCAATGATCATGATTCAGAAGTTTGAGTAACCCAATGCCACAACTGAGCATAATTCATCACAAAAGAGTATGGAGCAACCTCATGGGCCAAACTTTTACCAGGTGCCCTAAAGCTTAATCATGAAAAATCCACTGATGATAAAACAAACAGGATCCTGAGCTACTGAACCATGTCTCAAACCGGGTGCTCTATAAGCTGAGCTGACAACATGGTGTTTTAAGAGTCAGGAAGAGTAGGGTGAAAATCTCAGCTTGGCAAGTCTCAGTTCAATCAATGCTACTTCCTTTCTATATAACTATTTTGACAACTAGAATTCCCCTGGGGTGGAAGGAAGGGAGTCCATGCCTCATTTATTTGGTTGAAATGCAGATCACTGAGACTAGTTTTCCTAGAAAAAGCTCTTACACAACTTCAGAACATGATGGCTTAGGCCTTCCTGAATTTATTTCTGGATGTGTGCCTGGGGAATGTAAGCTCCGTGTGGCCACATGTTTCTTGGGGCTGGCGGGTGTTGACTCTGCCTTTCGAGCAAGCATCTTGGTGCCTAGTTCAGTTCCATGTGCTTAAAGAGCTTTCCTTTCTGCAATGTTAATTGATGAACAAAGAAGAGGAAATCCCAGTTTTCAAGAACATAGCCTACTAACCTTTCACCTCCTGGCTGGTTGTGAGGCACCTTCCCTTGCCAGGAATTAAAACAAAACTCCATTAAAAGGAAGACAAACTAGAGAACTGAGAGCCTCGACCATTTCACTCCCCCGCCCAAGCCAGGAATTCCAATGACTCAGATACTGGATTCTGTATGATGTTGGCCAGGGGTGAACGCTAACTAAAAAGCTCAGGTCTTTCCCATGGTCCAGATGCCACATTGTTGGACGCAATGCTGAAAACCACCTAACATAATCTCAGACCTTTCGTCATTCTGTGAAGCTGTAGCTGTTGCTGGGAGACACAGAAAAGCAGAGAAGCAAGGGTGTTTCCTGGAAGAGCTTATCCATCATTGAAGGCATGCATGCTTCCTGGACTCCGACCTCTGGCCGGTACACAGCTGTTCAGCTTCAACTGAGCTGCTCCTGGTAGACATGCCAATGGAGAGACCCAGACTCAAAAGTCACACTGCCTTTCACAGTGTGAGAAAGATAAAGATGCTTTTGCTATGTGCTAGGTTGACTTCTTTGTCAAGTATGGGCATCCTGATATTCACTCACAACAGTTACTGAGTGCCAACTGTGGGCCAGGCTCTGCAAAGACATGTCCTTGCCATCAAGGAACTTTTAATCCAGAGAGAATGGCTGATCTCACGAAAAATTATAGAATAGCTGCAGAACAAGTGCTAAGTATACTCAAAGTATACTTCAAGTCTGCCTTGGGGAATGAGGGATAGCTTCAAAGTAGTAGCAATCCTTGAGTATGCTGGGCAGACCATATTGAGAAAGCCATCCCAGGATGTCAGAACAGCATATAAAGTACAGAGCTAAGAAAGCACTCAGGGCAGAGCAAACACTCGGGTGAATGGCAGAGAACAGCTAGAGACAAGGTGGGGCAAACAGGTAGGGGATGAGATGCCTGAGATATTTAATACCAAAACAAGGAGATTAGACTTCATTTTATGGATGCAGAGAAACTGTTGAATTCTGAGAAGCAGAGAGGCACAGTCATTTTAGTGTGTAAGAAAGATGAAGGCTGTCAGTGTCAAGGCTGGACTGGAAGACAGTGAGAGTGGAGGCCAGGAGATGAAACTGGCTTGGGAGGGCAGTGGCAGTGGAGAAGAAATGAATGGAAGCTGACAGTACTTGACAATTACTGAACAGGGAGTGACAGAGAGGAAAGGAACCCAGGATAGTTCCTTTCTTTCGGCTTTGGTGAGATAGAAAATACAGGGGAGGAGCAGGTTTGGGGTGAGAATAGAGATATGGTGAACTCCATTTTAGATCAGCTGAGTGTCATTGCCTTTGGGTCAAGATCTTAAGAGAGGGGTCTGAGCTAGAGAGACAAGTTTCCTTGTCAGTAGCACATGGGCAGTTGTTTTAGCCATGGGAGTAGATTGGATAACTCAGGGAAAAGCATGGAGTAAGAATAGGAGAGTGCCAAGATAGGGCCCTGGAGAATGGGAAGAGAAGCCCATGAAGGAAATGGAAAGAGAAGGCCAAGGAGTAGGAGGTTTCTGGGAGAAAGCACCCTATTCCCACGTGCATGATGGTGGCCCCACACCACAGTAAGCTTCTCCATCCTCCATGAAGCTCCTTCTAGAACTTGTTGCTGCACACAGTGACTTTTCTTCTCAAGATGGCCATTCCTGATAATAATGCTAAACCCATTTTGCATATGCTCTATATTTAACCTGCTGGTCTACCGATGGCCAAGTTTCCAATTATACTGATTTCTATTTTATTTTAGAGTTTGGGTAAATCAGCCACAGAGAGGCTTTGTGATGTGTACAACGACTTATGCAGAAGCTGAGCTCCAATCAGAACTTGGGCTACTTGTCTCTAATGCCTGCTGTGGGAATGGCTGGAACTGGCAGTCAGGTCAACAGGCTTTGTAGCACCCAACCCACAAATGAAGAGGCTCCACAAGAAAGAAAGATGGAACCAATATGGCTGAAGGGTCCAACACAGGGAGAAACATGAAGGGCAGGGAGTAAGGCATTCTTGGAAGAGAGACATATAAACAGCCTCGTTTCCAACAAGAGGGCTTACCTGTGGTTGGGCTAGTCTCTACAGATGGGAGATCAATACCCATTCTCCACAGAGAGCCAGCCTAGTCTCAAAAAATTCTCTCCTTCTAAGATAGAAATGTTTCCTTGGTCTTTGAAGAAGACTAGAGGAAAGTCAACTGAGGAATAAGGTACAAACTCTTCATTGTTGAAGTGAGAAGGAAAACATTCCTTTCAAAAACAAAGAACAGCTTATCAACACCATGAAGATTACTGAAGTCTCTCTTTATTTCTGGCCAGAGAAGAATGAGCAGCCCAATTATGTTCCAGCCTCTGAGCAAAAGAAAGAAGGGGCCTTGGTCTGCAGCCTCTGTGGAGCTGGATCTTCCTGAGGGTACTCTTTGATCCTGGGAAGTGTCCATGGTGGCCTCCAGGAGGTTCCATGCTAGTGGGGAGCCATATGTGAGTCTCAGAAGGCAGAGAGATGGTCTACTTTGGGGTGAAATACCCACTGAGAAGGGTTAGATGCAAATATAGGGACTACATTTCTCTCCACAGTTTCACACAGCCATGAC